GCTTACATAAAACAAACTTAATTTGAAGTGTAGCGTTTTTTTCTAAACCTCATATTCCACAGAATCGCGTTATTATTTCATTTTCTAGAGGCGGATAAATGCAAATTGAAGAAAACAGAGAAGAGAAAAGCGGAAAGCGATATTCAGTCGGATCCTACAAAATCAGACGCTTACAAGAAGTTATTCACAACCTGTGAGGACGCAAAGAATAAGCCTGCACAGCACTGGGTCACTTATAATCCTTTGTATTATTGAATGAGTATTTCATTCTCGAGTTTATTCCTTTTGCCATACAGTGTAAATACCTCTCAAGCACTTATTAGTGTTAGTAGTGAGTTCAAGTGATACTATAGTTAAGATTTCATGTCATTTTTAATTTTCTTCGCTTCTTTCTGCTACAACAGTGATTGCGATCTCTGTATAAAATGTTCACCAAGTGGAATCTAGCGATTGGTGAATCATGTAAGATGTGGTTCTCGTCATTTCGTCATTATGAACTTGTCACTTCAAAAGCATGTGCTTTTACCATCTCTCGGACTTTGTTACTCCCTTTCCAAACAGTTTTATGTTCTCTAGTGATTGTATGCAGATGAAAATTAGTGCATCAAAAATATTGTCTTTTGGCACCGTTTTCTTCTTCCGGATAATAAAAGTTGGTGGTTGCTTTGGTGTGTGATGTGATTCGCATTACATGGGTGTCCTTGATTCCCCACATATTCCTAGAACGCTTTCAGTCGTCTACAAAGTTCACAGCTGAGAAATCGAGGTCTAGGTTCTTGGGTTTCCTTCACGGCAGAGATGCTGTCCGTGCCACGGGTGGCGTTGCGACGAGGGCTTATTGCGGTAGAAACGTCATCACGTGCCGCTTTTTTCTGCAATCAACAGGTTTGCTTTTGTCACTAATTCGTACTTCATACGTGATCCATAATACATTACTAACTACTATTTATATTACTATTATTACTCTTGTAAATGCTCTTAGTTTTCTGCGAAAAGTCTAGTTTCACATTAATGCCATGGATTGAGTCTGCTGACTGGTTCGTTTTCCTTTCTTGTAGAGTTGCTTTTTGATAGGCTGTTGCATTACAATTTTTGCACAAAATCTGTTGAGCAGATTGCGTGCAAAAAATTAATAAGCAACATTCCATTTTTACATAATGTTTTTCTCTGCAAAATGCTTAATCGTGAACTAATGCTTTGTCAAAAATTATGGACAGGTTTGTGGTGCATGTTGCTCAGACCAGCCCGTGAAGTTTTGCCCTTATTGCGTGATACCTCTCTGGCCTGCATCTAGAACAAGAATCGAACACATGCGGATCTCCAGGGATGTTTCTTCTACCTACAGTAGTTGGCAAAATAGTAGTGATTTTGATTCATGTGCATTTTTATCGCTTATGATCATGATTATTAATATTTATTGTGCGGGTTATGCATGCACCTGTCGCAGGTGCTTTTGAGATGCGCTCGCTCCGGGCGCATTAACATCGGTTCTCCCAAATCGTTTAGATTTTCAGCGAAACCTCCTGTTTTCACTCCCACACCTCTTAGTATTGAAAGATTGTACAGTCGACGCAGTCGGCTATTAAAATGGAAATTCCTTTCAGGCTATCCGTTTAAACAGTGATATCTACAGGAACTCTTCAGTTTGTCAATATTTCGCTGACTGATAAATATGCAACGTTAGTACTGAGATCAGCATTTGACACCGTGACCTTTAGGTTTCTTTTGCTTTATTAGAACTTCCCTATACGATTAGAGTACCGCATAAAATACTACATGATTGATGAATGGAATGATGATGTATAGTCCTTATTCAATGCGATATTATTTGGAATGGAAGTAGAATGCGTGACGAATTCTAGAACGCCGAACGTTCTTTCCCTCAACCTTCATGAATCTGGTATTATGGAAACAATACTCTTTCTTACAGTGCGCAGATTCATCAAAGACATCTGACCATCTATATGCAAAGGTATCTTTTAAACAAGAGCAATTATGATGTCATGATACAATGGTTTTACTAATGACTGGGTAGATAGGTAGCTCCGATGTTCCTGTCGCCATGCCATTAGCACCGCCTCGACTTCGCCGGTGGAGGAGATGTTTGAGGTAAGGCGTTTTTTGATCCACTTTTCAGCCCAATCCTTTTCTTTATTTGAAGGCTGATGTTGGTCAGATAACCTATATCGTTTGTCATCAGTATCTGCTTCTTGACGTGTTTTGATGTATCAGATGTTTTGGCTTGTTCTATCGTCTGCGCATGAAATAACTATTTGGAGACTACCTTTATATTTTTGATTATGTATTTTGAATGTATAGCATTTACACGAAATACATGTTGGAGTTGAAAGAACCCGCCTGAGACCGCAACATCCTGCATGCTTCATCTCAATAGCGAGTGTTGCCGCTTCAGGGCAGATGTTGAATCCTTGTTTTGGGGTGAGCTCGGTTTGCTGTCATGGTGGAAGCGTCTCGCTATTTCGGTGGCGTGGAGCTAAACATGCATGCGATATCCCGTGGTGAGACAAACCATTCGTTTTGCGGGTGAGTAGGACCTTTCGCCTTGGTTCGTTCATATTGAGTCTTGATGTTTTTCTTAAATTTGAACTCTCATAGTTTATTTATCAGAGTAACCAATTGAAGTTTTCCGGCTTCTTAGGTTGCTCGTTCTTCATAGATCTGTAAGTTTTTGCTGATAACTTTTGGGGATTTCAGTTCTTTCCGAAAAACCGCAATCTCTTGCTCATTCTGAAATTTGAAATTAATGCATCTGTTTCAGTATCTGGTTTACATGTGAACAAAATAGGTAGACCTCCAAAATAGCTTTTTGAGCGATTTGTCGCGGTCGGCTGGCAAGCAGTTCTTAACTACTCATTTCTAGCTACCATTGCTTTGCGTCTTTCGCTCATCATTGTACCCATCATGTCTCAACGATTAGTTGCGAAGCAGAGTCGTTACAAGAAGGAGTTGGAAGATTTCCGTCAAAGAATACAGACCGCCCGTCAGGAGGGGAACAACTTACTGCGTGAGTTATCTCCACGGTCATCTAATTCAATTACTTTGGAACTAGTATTTCCGCACTGGTGTTGCAAAAATTTGAAAGTATGGGAGGGGTGATGGGTGAATCCAAGAGAGGCTAGCCATGTCTCCAACCAAAGCTATGGGTTCTCGTGTGGGTGAAGCGATTAGGAATGTGGGGTTATCACTCGCCAATAGACAAACGCTCAACTGATTTGAGTAATTGCAGAGAGCGTTAAATTTTTCTTTAGTTTAGTATTATAGAGCAACAAATTTTCATGGAACAACGTGACTTTCTGAAAGCGAAAGACATTCGACTTGGACGACAGTTCCTTATTCTGCTTGCCAATGGCGCTGTTTTTGCTACGCAGTTCTTTGCAATCAGGAAGATGGTCGATGTGAGTTCATTACGGAAAAAAAATTGGGGATTTGGTTGCCTTCGCCTGCTTAAGCTAGTGCGGAAATGATCGCAAAATTTGCGAATATCACAATCATTTATAAACCTTTCTAATACTCGTTTCTCGTCAATTTTTCATAAATCTAACTTTTATTTGGAGACGATATCAGCTTCGCAACCTTTGTGTTGCCTTTCGTTCATTTTGATTATTCTGCTTCATATTTTTGTATGCTAGCCCTTATAGAACCACGATTTTCTTTAGCCGCACTTCTTATGAGGACAATAATCGAACAATTTGTTGTGGTCATGTTCTAAAACATTTCCAGGTCAACTATCCTGGCCTTTCAACTGGTGGTACGGCATGGTTTACGGACTTAACGATTGCAGATCCGTACTATGCGTTACCATTGATCAGTGCCGTGACGATGGGTTTAGTAACTCGGGTGAGTATTTCCATCATCTTGCTATTCTTCATGGTTCTGTTAGATCTTAGGGCAGTTGTGAACTGCAAAATACATGTGGCTAATGTACTGCGTTGTTCTTAAGGTCGGGATTGAAATGGGCACTTCTTCTGATCAGATGACGCCACTGATGCGAGTAGGGATGCAATATGCTCTACCAGTCGTAATTTTCGCTGTTAGTTCGCAGTTCGCTTCGGTAAGTATAGTTTTCGGATCTCAGATTGAGGAGGGGAGGGTGTTTTGATGCATTAACTTGTGCGAATTGCTCTTGTTCCATTTTTTGGAGCG